CTAGTAGCAGTTGAGATACATATAGGAAACCCTAATTGGGTTGTACTCCCTATAGAGTACCCCACTGCAGGCTAGACAAACATCACATTCTGACAATAACATGCACCATGGATTTCATACCTGCATGATGGCCCTGTGCTCATAGGCCGCTACACATGCTCCGGTCTCGAAGTAGGCGCTCTCTAGCAGGCGCATGTGGTTCAGGCGCGTGCAGTCGTGCGCATATACAACAGTTCAAGGGCGGCACAAATACAGAAACATGTACGAATCCGGATTGGAGTGTATATGACAAAGAGCAACTAATCTAATCCCCCAAATCACTGACCTGTCCATCTTCTTCATGCGCCGCTTCTTCACCTTGCGCACGACAGCCACAATGTGGCTCATCATGCCCAGGTCCGCCTGGTGCATGATGTCAGGCATGACAACGAGGTAGGGATTGCCCCACACGTTCCCTGTGACATCCCACACTGGAGAAGGGGATGTGGTGGGGAATGGAGGAAAAATGTAATTGAGAGACCCTTTAAACAACATGAGGGGTGAGTTCAATGAGGGAGAGCACATCTCCCCCATTACTGAGCAACACGGAGTGCGTAGACTACACAGTAGCCAAGGAAACAGGTCGCTCACCTCAACAGGGTAGGTGAAGTAGGTCTTGCATGGGTCGTCCTGGCTTGATGTCAGCACAGCCGCCTCATTCACGATCCATTGCTGTTGTTCATTAGTGCGCGGCGTGTTCCATGCCTTGACAGCAACGAGATGCTCGTGGTGTAGCATGGGGGGGTGGGATGGGATAAACAGGCAAGGAAGGTGAGTTTATGAGTTTTGTCAGGCGACATTCAAATGACAATGGATTTGAAGGCACGCACATGGCATGTTTGCTCACCTTTGCAGCATAGCAGATGCTGCACGGCATCCGCGATCCATGCGAGAGTGTGCAAGTGATCTTGCCACTCTTGGGATAGTCACACACCCAGGCGTACAGTAGGGGCTGTACGGTCTGCCAATCACCGAAAGGGTCCCTGAGACTGAACCTGCTGCAAGGAATAGGTAGAGTGGCAACAGGAATGCGTAAGGACGGCTTTGTGCATGTACGAAGAGGGGCAAAAGGGAATGCTATATACACAGACACTTTGCATACTATGTAGGTGATTGGGTGATGACATAGCAAGATGCGAACCAAGTACTGACCTTTCCATGCCATCGAGATGCGTCTGCAGCACGGTGATGACGCATCGCTGGAAGAGCATCACCTTCTCCACGACAGACATTGCAGCAGGGGGGATAGGAAGGAGGGCAAGTAGCGTGTGCCCGGCTTTCCCCCATCGCGTGGCCTGAAGGATGTTGCCAAGCGTCATCATGAGTGGCCACGCCTTCTTCCGGCCGTTGTTGCTCATGTGAGTCACATCCGAATAAAGGATGATTCCTCCCACGACTTCGGACCATCCGAAGTGTTCTTGCAATGCACGACACAATGGCAACGCAACACATGGTCAAACAATATATACACGCATAATAAACAACCACGAACCATGAGCCATTACTCCTTACAAATAGCCAGGACCAGGTTGTCAAACACCACCAACGTAACGATGCAGTCAGCCAGATTGAACCAGTTTCAAAGCATGCAACGAACATGACACACTCCAGAAGCTTGGGACACTAAAGCGCAGCAAAATCGCCATGAGCACGGATCAGGTTATGGCGAGCAAAGAGGTATTTGCTTACCTGAGCATCATTCCACCACGTTGTTGTTTATAGCGACGCTCGCCTATGTCAGGGTCCTCATCAACACGCGCCTTGAGCTTGAACAGTTCAGCAAATGCATGGTGTACGGTGGCGAAGGCATGCAAGAACAGGGGCGGGGTTAGTTTCTTGGAAGGCGAGTCCGATGTCAAACAAACATAATGAGCATGGCACCAAACGTTCACCACCCGGTAAGAGCAACAGAGTATCATAGACGACTATATAGCGTATTCCAACCTGAGCCGAGTTCTGGAAAGGCACTCGCTGTGGTGGATGACCCTGGACCTCGAAATTCGCCAGTGACCATCCGATATTGAGGCCTGCCAAGTGCTCCATCTCGAACTGCTCCAGCTCCTTGTAGCTCCTTAGCTCGGAGATCACGAGAGGCGCGAGGCCGGGCTCTACCACGAGCTGAAGCAAGCCATTGATGTCGACCTCCGCCATTCCCATTCCGCCGTTCACACGTCGAATGAAATGCAACAGCTTCAGACCCAGCAGATTAAGGGGGGTGGCAGCGCCCTGTCCGCTGACAATGGTTGGCGGCGCGGCCTGACTCCCTTGTGACTGAACCTCTGGATGTTCAGTTGTGTCGGTTGTAGGTGTATCTGGGGGCGGTTGATGATCATCTTCAGGAGCACCTTCGTGCACAGTGGAGGGTGTATCATCTTCGGCTGCTTCAGGCACGCGCTGAGGAGCTCCCCCATTGACATTGTTGGAAGCGTTAGATAGTGTAGACGAGGCGATTTTGGCAGGTAGTGCTTTAGGCAGTATATCATGAACGAACAGCAGTGTGTGAAGGCCAGCAGTTGGCGCAGCTCGAGAAGGCCTTGCCACGGCAGATAGGCCTTGACAAGGGGTCCTCCGTGACTTATGGCCGCCATAAACCTGCGCGTTGGGGAACCATTTGCTACAAAACTCGAAGAGAACGCCCGACAATGAGCCCATCTAGATACAATCGCTCTAAATGTTGACGAAATGTGAGTGACGCTAGTACTGAGAGTGAAGCATGAGGCTTCATAAACGGCGCGTTGGAAGAATGCAAAAGCTTCTGCAGGGCCAATGTCAAATGGCGGTCGTCAATAGGCGACTTGGAGCTATGCACGCCTGGCACTTGGACGTAGCGCGACTGTTTTCTACTGGCTAAGTAGTTAGAGTCGCACGGCCGTGTAGTCTCGCGACCTGGACCATCCACAGTGCTCGCCAGTGCTCGCTTTATACAATGCGCGTCGCCCTCGTTGCAGCGGACACGACGTGAAAGCGGCGGCCTGTACTGCAATATAGCATGCAGTGTAGCGAGCATGATGGCGCACGATCGTGCCTTGTGATTCTAAAACTTGAGTTTTTGAATCGTGCAAGGGAGCCAACCGGACAAGGAAGAGAGGGAACATATCTTAGTGCAATCGTGATTCATGCGGGTGTCGCTATAGGCCACACCAAACTTGCAAAAATCAGAATGGCCAGTGTTGCGTATGCCCAACTGCTTAATATCAATGTACAGTGCAGCTTACAATTAAAATATACTCACCCTTAGACTATTGTGTACCACACCTTGGCAAGCACCGTACAAAAACACTGACTGTGGCAATAGATTCGTCCAGGAAAATCAAGTCCACGACGCACAACCAATCCAATACCATACCACAACGGTTACACCATGTATTGCAAACCAAAGTCCTGGTCACTACAAGTTTGCATGTGGAGACATAGTTCTTGATAACCTATCGCCACTTGTGTGATTGCCCTGTGCTTCATATAACTACATCTATGCAGCTTGTTGAAGGTTCACGCAATATTTGTGCCCAATCCAATACCATACAACAACGGTGTCACCTTGTATTGCACCCCAAAGTCGAGGTCGCTGCAACGTCGCGCTAACAAGACATGGTTGTCGATAGCACATCACCGACTGTGCGTGGGCCCTGTGCTTCACACCACACCTTTTATGCACCATGTTGAAGGCCCATGCAAGGAGTGAGCCCAATCCAATACGATACCACAATGGTTTCACCACGTCGCGCAACACACGGGCCTGAACGCTGCATCGTCGCACTGTCGAGACATGGTTGTCGAAAACACATCACCGACTGCGCGTTGGCCCTTTGCTTCACACCACACCTTTGATGCAGCATGTTGAAGGCCCATGCAAGGATTGAGCCCAAACCAATACCATACCACAACAGTTTCACCATGTCGCGCAACACACGGGCCTGTACGCTGCATCGTCGCACTGTCGAGACATGGTTGTCGATAACACATCACCAACTGTATGTTGGCCCTATGCTTCACACCACACCGTTTATGCACCATGTTGAAGGCCCATGCAAGGATTGAGCCCAATCTAATACCATATCAGCACTCTTTCCCATTTGGCACTAGTGAGCGTCATGTTTAGACATCGTCCGACGACATGTAACCGCGTTGGCATTCAACATGTGCTTAGTACAGTTGTCAGAAGTATTAGTTATGGAAGCTCATAGTGTGTGTGTCCTGAGCCAAATACACTACCTTACCACTACACCATATTGTAACATTAGCAACCTTATTTTTGAAGATTGTATTTGTTGTAGTTTTGATACGTATGTTGCTTGTATGTGCAACTTTGTTCATTTCGGATTAGCACTGTACTTTACAGGGTTTAGGTTACATTCGCGGTAGTGGTCTAGAAACTGTTCTAGATTGTGCAGTGATTGATGCGTTGGCACTGATTGGCCGACGCATCTCAAACGACCCCTCTCGCCACTAACGCACCAGCCAAGCGGGACATCCGCCATTGAAGCAGCGGCCGTGATCAATCGGTGAGTGGGTTTATGAATGGGTGGCAAAACGTACACCGTACGATTTTGCCTGGTCTGATTACAGTCCTCTCTCTAGTCTCGCAATCCACCCCAACCACCCTCGTGCCCCACCCACCAGCTTCCGTCACCCTCATACCCACAACTTTGAGACCGCTCGCTGTTTAACACTGGCCTTTCCAGATCGCCCGTGAGTCAGTGTAGCGACTAAGTAATGGGCCGTACCTATGTGCTTAGTAGCTACTATTCAGTTTTAATTGTAGCGGAGGTTTTTGGTGAGAGAAGATCGATTAGACCGGGACAGGGTCCCTTAGTTACATTCCTTTGCGGTTCGCAAGGTAAACCAGCTACACCATTCCGCACAAAAATTGCATTCGTACAACAACCATGACACATGCAACTCGACAAAAAGAAAAGGAGGAGCAGGCCGGACGACACGCAACACGCAAGTAGGTTTCGGCCATGAAAAAGGATGCGGAAGTTGCCTGTGCTGCCCCCGAGCCCGGTCCGACTGACGACGGCACCATCGGCGGCAAAGAAGATCCTTGGCGAGGGAGCGTGAGTCTTGCCGTCCAGTCGGCGGAGAGAGAGGGCTCGGCGACAGGGAGAAAGCACGGCGACTCTCCCTGTGACGAGCACGCCGCAACCGTGGAGTCCGAGGCGGAGGCATCGCAGCACCATCTGACGCTGCTCCACCCGTCCGTGGTCGAAGTTTCTGCTGCCGTGGTAGATAAGGACAAGGATGCTGCGCACGACTCTTCGGAGGAGCCTAAACACGGCATCGCCGACGTCGGAGGCTCACCTCCCTCTAGTGGACGTGGGAGGCGTAGGCAGAGGAAGAGCGATGGGGAGGAGGAGTATGACACCGCCGTGGCGGGGGACATCCCTACGCGGGCGAAGAGGAGGCAGACGACAGCCAGTGGTGACGACGCCGGTGGTGCTGAAGTTGGGACAACGCGAGGCGCCAGGGAAGCAAGTGGCAAGGCGACGGGTCAAGCATTGCGCCGTAAGGGCCGACCCTGAGCAAGGAAACCATCAAGCAGAAGGAGGGGCAAGCAAGTAGCGAGGGGAAAGGGGCCGTAACGCGGTGAAGAAAGCCCTGATGATGCGGAGGAGGAGGATGAGGTAGATGAGGAGGAGGAGGCTGATGAGGAGGAAGATGATGAGGAAGAGGAGGATGAGGAGGATGCGGAGGAGGAGGACGCGGATGTAGGGGAGGAGGAAAAAGATGAGGATGATGAGGAGGAGGACGAAGATGAGGAGGAGGAGGAGGATGAGGAGGGGGACGACGAGGATGAGGAGGAGGTCGACGAAGAGGGGGACGACGAGGATGAGGGGGACGAGCATGAGGAGGAGGAGGAGGAGGAGGAGGAGGAGGAGGAGGAGGAGGAGGAGGAGGAGGAGGAGGAGGAAGGGGCGGAAGAGGAAGAGGAGGAGGATGTGGCAGCAGGGAAAGGACAGGGCGCGCGAGGCAGACGGGGGAGTGGTACAGGGAAGGTGGGAGGGCGGACTCGTCATCCTCGAAAACGCGGGGCAGTTGACGCACCGCGTGGCGAATCAGCGGGCAAATCGAAGGCGCGTAAAGTGAAGGTCGAAACTGAAGGGGGTGGTAAAAAGCAAGGGAGACAGGGAGCAAAAGGCGATGGAGAAGGAAAGGGAGGCCGCGCCAAAGGGGTTCCTGCGGGTTCGGCCAAGAAAGAACCTGCCGGTAAACGTCGCAGCGGCCGCCAAAGCACTCCGCGGAAAGGTGGCAATGAGAAGCCGCAAGCAGCTAAACCGAAGGGACAGCAGCGAGGTAAGCAATGTGGCACATACACATGGCATGGCTGCCATACTTTGTGCTAAATCGTGCCTAATAACACCATTCTTCACATTGTTTCCCCTCCTGCATGGAAGGAGAAGGTCAACGAATCTGCAAAGCCGAGTAAGGCCTGTTTTTACACAACAGTACCCTGCTAAACCCGAGTTAGATTCAAGTGGCTGCTCGTTTGCATGCATGTGTGCCCCTGTATTGAACGTAATCGACTCCATCTCTGTGCTCATGCTCCCTATAACTCTCAGCCCCTCGAGTTACAGGCATTGGGCCACCGGTAAGCGTGCAACGGATGCAGCTAACGAAGGGGGCCGGAAGAGCGAGTGTTACCCCGCTATCCTCAGGAGCCCCGCGGTTCTTCATGCCATACTCCGGCCTGTCTAAAATCGCTGCTACAGCACCCGATGCACCAAGAGGAGAGGAATCCGAATCCCCTCCACCAGGCCACGTCACGCACTCCCCACTCGCCTCACCCTCATTCCGATATCAGCAGCTCCACGCTTCTCTTGTCCACGGCAGGGCGGTCTCCCCCCTCGCCGGTCCTTCGCGCGGGCATCAGCCAAGAAATTCTGCCAATCCCTTCCCTGACCTGCCCTTTTCATGCCAGCGTGATAGTGTGAGGGCACACGGGACTACTGCAGAAGACGATGATCCCCTTGGCCAAAGGGGGGATTCTTCACACCCTTTTCCCAATCTCATGGGTGCCCTAGGTGAAAGTGCGGAGCACGAGCGGTTTGTTACACAGGAGGAGTTCCAGGCGCTACAGTCTGAGATGTACGCCATGTTTGCTCGGCCTGCGTCGTGGAGCACTTGCCAGTTATGCCGGGGGGTCCACAGTGATGCCTATGGCAAGTACCCCGTCGCCGATGAGTGCCGTAGACAAGGCACGAGTGCTTGTGTTGCAGGAGACAAACCCATTCCCGGTATGTGGAGGGCCAAATGGGGCGGGTTGGGGTTGACGTGGCAACCACGGCGGGGTTGGGGATGACGTGGCGGTTTGAAAGGGTACATGGGAGCGGCGCATGACAAGGCGACGCGTGTCAGGTGGGTGGGGGGTGACATGGGTTGGGGTGGGGGGGTGTGACATGGCAAGTGGGGCGGGTTGTTGGTGGACGGCGCTGATGTAGGAGGGTGTGACGTGGCGGAAGGTGAGGGGTGGGGATGTCGTGGCGGTTTGAAAGGGTACACGGGAGCGGCGCATGACGAGGCGACGCGTGTCACGTGGGTGGGAGGTGATGTGGCTTGGGCTGGGGGAGGGTGACGTGGCAAGTGGGGCGGGTTGATGGTGGAAGTGGCTAATGCAGGAGTGTGTGACGTGGCGGAAGGTGAGGGTTGGGGATGTCGTGGCGGTTTGAAAGGGTACACGGGAGCGGCGCATGACGAGGCGACACGTGTCAGGTGGGTGGGGGGTGACGTGGCTTGGGATGCGGGGGTGTGACGTGGCAAGTGGGGCGGGTTGTTGGTGGACGTAGCTGATAAAGGAGGGTGTGACGTGGCGGAAGGTGAGGGTTGGGGATGTCGCGGCGGTTTGAAAGGGTACACGGGAGCGGCGCATGACAAGGCGACGCGTATCAGGTGGGTGGGGGGTGACGTGGCTTGGGGTGGAGGGTGTGACGTAGCAAGTGGGGCGGGTTGTTGGTGGACGTGGCGGATGCAGGAGGGTGTGATATGGCGGAAGGTGAGGGTTGGGGATGTCGTGGCGGTTTGAAAGGGTACACGGGAGCCGCGCATGACGAGGCGACGCGTGTCACGTGGGTGGGGGGTGACGTGGCTTGGGGTGGGGAGGTGTGACGCGGCAAGTGGGGCAGGTTGTAAGTGGACGTGGCTGATGTAGGAGGAGGGTGTGACGTGGTGGAAGGTGAGGGTTGGGGATGTCGTGGTGGTTTGAAAGGGTACACGGGAGTGGCGCATGACGAGGCGACGCCTGTCAGGTGGGTGGGGGGTGACGTGGCTTGGGGTGGGGGGTGTGACGTGGCAAGTGGGGCGGGTTGTGTCAACATATATTTTATATGTTGTATTTGGTTTAGTCTAGGTGTTACTGTTTTGCCCTACTTCTAGATTAGGGTTTCATACATATTGCTTGTAACTTTGTTATTCTAGTCAATTCTTGGATTCTGACATGCTATCAGAGCGAAGGTTTGGAAGAAGTCCACCCCCTCTCGCTGACTGAAGCCTCTCGCCACATAGCGCGCCTCGAACACTAGTGGTGACCCAGGCGGCCGCTTCACCTTATAGAGCCATCGGCCACTGACGACGTTCGTCCCAGGTGGTGGGACTGCGTCGACGTAAGTGCCTGTGGACCTATAAGATGCCATCTCTGCCTCCTCAGCTGCTATCCAGTACAAAGCCCAGGGTCCCGAGACCGCCTCGGCGTGAGTGCGAGGGATCGGGATGTCAAGAGCGTCTGGATCCCCCTCAGGGGCAAGCAACATGGCGCAGAGATGAGGAACAGCGGCCGCAAGAAAACCAAGCTCGAACTGCCTGTCCTCGAGGACCTCTAGGGGAAAAACAGGAGCACCCCCAGAGAACGAGAAACGAGCAGGGCCACTCACCAAGTGAGCGGCGTAGTCAAGGCGGTGGGAAGAGGCAAAGCCAGCGACAGTGGTAACAAGTGCCGAAATAGACGACAGAGGTGCAGTCGGGTGAGTGATCAACGCGGACAAAACACGGGAGACGACAGGACGGGAGGCACGGAGGTAGTCAGACAACGGGTTGTGAAGCACAGTGAGGAACGACTCAGGGGGCTGTGGAAGGACAGGAGGACGTGGAACACGAGAGCGAAGAACAAGGTGGAACGCACCGTCTGCACGGTAACGGGACCGACGACGCTCTGGGGACACAGCACGACTGAGGGGAGAACGACGAGTCCACTGGGATGAGGAAAGGGACTCAACAGGGGGAACAGGAGGGGACGGTAGGGGACCACGAACAAAGCGTGCAGGTGCTGAGTCGGGGAGGTCGTGTAGTCGCAGTCGCTGCTGCTCCGCCTCCTCTGGCGTCTGCTGCGACGGCACCGGCCCCTGCTGCTGCTCCTGTGGCTCTGCCTCTGCCCTTTCCTGCTGCGACTGCAGCTGCACCCGCTGCTGCGAGCGGGACTCCTGCGCTACCCTCTCCTGCTGCGGTCGTGACTCCTCCTGTACTCTCTCCTGCTGGGTCTGTAACTGCACCTGCTGCTGCGGGCGGGACTCCTGCTCTACCCTCTCCTGGTGCGGCCGTGACTCCTCCTGTACTCTCTCCTGCTGGGGCTGCAGCTGCACCCGCTGCTGCGACCGGGACTCCTGCTCTACCCTCTCGTGCTGGAGCTGTGACTCCTCCTCTACTCTCTCCTGCTGCTGTAGCTGCTGCTGCTCCTGCTGCCGCTGCTGGTGCTGCTGCTGCTGCTGCTGCTGCTGCTGCTGCTGCTGCTGCTGCTGCTGCTGCTGCTGCTGCTGCTGCTGCTGCTGTGCCCTCTCAAACCGCTCACGCTTCTCCCTCCAACCGGAGGAGACGCTGCTCACGGATCAGGAAACGTACAGTGCGAGGTGTAGGTGCCACAGTGCCAGTGCCTCCAGCTCCAGCACTCCCAGAACCATCACCTCCACTAGTGACACCTCCGGGGCCTCCAGTACCTCCCGTAGGAGCACCCCCAAGCTCCGCAGCAACCGGCCGCAGAGGAGAACGAGGAGGGAACTGCGGGACGACCGGGAAGCCGGGGGGTGAGGCGGGGCGAGGCCGCCGACTCGAGGCTGCCGTGTCCTCCACAGGAGTGACCTCCACGCCCACACCCACTGCACCCCCTGAACCGACACCACGAGCTCCTGCAGCCCCAGCACCCTCACCCTCCGCAACTGTACCTCCCGCACCCCCAGACACAACAGGGACTGGACGCTGCGGGGGGGACGACTGCGGAGTGACGTGCGACACACCTAACGGGGCAGGACGCGAAGGAGGGGGGGCTACCGGGGCGACTGGGGGGGGCTCAAGGGTGAGGAACAGCGGGGGGGAAAAGACCTCAGTACCTCGGTGGGGGCGACTCCTGTAGTAACAGACAGACTCGTCGAACGTGACGTCCTGAGAAGCGAAGAACCCGCAGGTGACCGGGTCGTAGAACACCCAGCCGGAGGCGTCCAACGGGAAGCCAAGAAAGACGCAGGCACGAGTGCGCGGAGACAACTTGTTCGCGCCACGGGCGCGAACGTGAGCCAGACAACCCAATACGCGGAAGTCAGCTGTTACGCCCTGTAAACCTGACCAGAGAGAGACCGGCGTCACCCGTGGCCGTGCGTCACTGGGCCACAGGTTCAGCTGGTGCGCGGCGTAGCGGACTGCCTGAGGCCACAAGAACTGAGGGGCACCGGCATGGCACATGGAGGTCCGGGCAACCTCCATGACCAGGCCGATGCGACGCTCGGCTACCCCGTTCTGCTGCGGCGAGGCTGGTAGCGTGTACGAATGATTGACTCCCCGACCTTGACAGAACGTCTCCAAACGAGTGGAAGAAAACTCACCACCCCGGTCCGAGTGTAGGCGAAGCCCACACAGGCCCTAGGCACCACCCCACGCTAGTAGCCACGGCTCTAGGACGGTAGGCACGTCGGCCTTCCGTTGCAAGGGGAAAACCGTGGTGTAGCGGGAGTAGTCGTCCACCACAATCAGGAAGTAGCGCTCCTGACGTGGTCCAAGGACCTGGGAGGGGCCCCAGACGTCCAAGTGCAGGGTCTGGAAGGGAGCTGTGGTGGGGGGGAACGAGGAGGAGTGAGGGGCAGCGCGCTGCCGACCCTCGACGCAAGGAGTGCACAGCGGCGCAGGCGAGCGAGGAAGCGGGGCAAGCGACTCTGGGAGACCTGAGACCAGACGGTAATGTGCCATCCTACTGAGACGTGGGAACGACGGGTGACCTAGACGATGGTGCCAGAGGACAGACGGGTGGGTGAGGGAGCGACAGTCGCACGACACAGCAGCTACCTGACCTGACCTGACCTGGCCCGACCCAGTGCGGTGGGGCCCAGTGTGTAGTGAGTACAGACCAGAGCCCGGCTCCCTGTGAAAAGTGGCCAGAGGGGCCCCAGTGGTACCGAATGTGCAGGAGGCAACAGGCTCGTCCAGTGGGAAAGTGGTGACTACACCTAGGTCGTGGAGGTGACTGACACCCACCAGGTTCCTAGAGAACGAGGGGGTGTAGTAACCTGTAAGAAAACCTAAGGGAGCCGCCGGACACGGGAGAGTGGTGGTGCTGCGAGCAACTACACGTCCCACAGAGGGGTCAGCCAAGGCGACAATGATTGGAGTGCGCAGTGGTGTGAGGTCAGTACAGTCGCGAAAGAAACAGCTCGACGCTCCAGAGTCTAGGGTGAAGGAAAGCCGTGCAGTCTGTGGGGTCGCATCCGAACTAGCTACAAAGGCTGGTGCTAGACTAGTGGTAGCTGCAGCTCCTACACAAAGACCCTCAGAGGTGCCTGGACTGGAAACAACACACGCACCAAGAATGTAAACACAGGTCTCTACTCGTGCAGACGGGAACGGTCCTAGACCAGGCAGGTGAGACTCAACTGGTGCAGCAGTGCGCTGACGAAGACGTGAGGGCCAGTGCGGTGTAATAGCGTGAGGACCAAAACGCTCATGGTGGAGGTCGTCGAGTCGACGGTAGCAGTGGGACGCAGAGTCGTCAGGACTCCAGCAGGTAGTGCCAGCACCATGGCCTGTCAGGTCCCGGTACCCGCAGGGGCCGACGTCTCGCTCACTGCCAGCTGAGTCACTGCTGGGGGCGCCACACTTTGGACCCGCAGGTCCCCACTGCCGGGAGTGCTGCTGCTGGCCCTGCTGTTGGAGAACCCTAGTACACGCCATGTGAGGAGCTAGAAATGGATGGGGGGGTGCGTACAGGTGGGCCTAAGCTGGTGCTGGTGCTGCTGGGGGGCAGTCTAAGCTGCTGCTGGTTCTGCTGGGGGGGGTCAGCCTAAGCTGCTACCGGTTTTGCTGGTGGTAGCCTAAGCTACTGCTGGTTTTACTGGGGGTAGTACTGCTGGTGGCAGCCTAAGCGTCTGCTGGTTCTACTGGTGGCAGCCTAAACTGCTGCTGGTTTAACTGGGGGCAGCCTAAGCTGCTACTGGTTCTGCTGGTGGCAGCCTACGCTGCTGCTGGTTCTGCTGGTGGCAGCCTTAGCTGCTGCTGGTTTACTGAGGGCAGCCTAAGCTGCAACTACTGCTCGTGGCAGCCTAGGCTGCTGCTGGTCCTGCTGGTGGCAGCCTAAGCTGCTGCTGGTTGAAGTGGGGGCAGCCTAAGCTGCTACTAGTTCTGTTATGTGCGGTTCTGTGCGGTTCGTACGGTTCTGCACGGTTCAGTGCGGTTCTGTGCGGTTCTGCGCGGTTCAGTGCGATTCTACGCTGTGCTGTGCGGTTCTGTGCGGTTCTGTGCGGTTCTGCACGTGGAGAGTACCGGGTGGGGCGGCTGATTTCGGGTGAGGTGACTAGAACGGGTGGGGCAGCAGGTACGGTTCTGTGCGGTTCTGTCCGTTGCCGTGCGGTTCTGCTACTCGGAGTATTGGGTGGGGCGGCTGATTCTGGGTGGGGCTACACGGGCAACGTGGGGCGGCGCGCGGACTGCACGAGCTGCTGCGCGTGCGTTCGAGCGTGCGGCTGCGCGTGCTGCTGTGCGGCTACGGTGGGGCTCCGGTTATTCTAGTCAATTCTTAGATTGTGACAGGTTGTTGGTGGACATGGCGGATGCAGGAGGGTGTGACGTGGCGGAAGGTGAGGGTTGGGGATGTCGTGGCGGTTTGAAAGGGTACACGGGAGCGGCGCATGACGAGGCGACGCGTGTCACGTGGGTGGGGGGTGACGTGGCTTGGGGTGGGGAGGTGTGACGCGGCAAGTGGGGCAGGTTGTAAGTGGACGTGGCTGATGTAGGAGGAGGGTGTGACGTGGTGGAAGGTGAGGGTTGGGGATGTCGTGGCCGTTTGAAAGGGTACACGGGAGCGGCGCATGATGAGGCGACGCCTGTCAGGTGGGTGGGGGGTGACGTGGCTTGGGGTGGGGGGTGTGACGTGGCAAGTGGGGCGGGTTGTTGGTGGACATGGCGGATGCAGGAGGGTGTGATGTGGCGGAAGGTGAGGGTTGGCGATGTCGTGGCGGTTTGAAAGGGTACACGGGAGCGGCCCATGACGAGGCGACGCGTCTCAGGTGGGTGGGGGGTGACGTGGCTTGGGGTGGGGGGGTGTGACGTGGCAAGTGGGGCGGGTTGTTGGTCGACGTGGCTGATGCTGGAGGGTGTGACGTGGCGGAAGGTGAGGGTTTGGGATGTCGTGGCGGTTTGAAAGGGTACACGGGAGCGGCGCATGACGAGGCGACGCGTGTCAGGTGGGTGGGGGGTGACGTGGCTTGGGGTGGGGGGGTGTGACGTGGCAAGTGGGGCGGGTTGTTGGTGGACGTGGCTGATGCAGGAGGGTGTGACGTGGCGGAAGGTGAGGGTTGGGGATGTCGTGGCGGTTTGAAAGGGTACACGGGAGCGGCGCATGACGAGGCGACGCGTGTCACGTGGGTGGGGGGTGACGTGGCTTGGGGTGGGGGGGTTGTGACTGTGGAAAGTGGGGCGGGTTGTTGGTGGACGTGGCTGATGCAGGAGTGTGTGACGTGGCGGAAGGTGAGGGTTGGGGATGTAGTGGCGGTTTGAAAGGGTACACGGGAGCGGCGCATGACGAGGCGACGCGTGTCAGGTGGTTTGGGGGTGACGTGGCTTGGGGTGGGGGGGTATGACGTGGCAAGTGGGGCGGGTTGTTGGTGGACGTGGCGAATGCAGGAGGGTGTGACGTGGCAAGTTCACACAATGTTGCTAATGACCATCATGTGGTCACGCGGCCACAATCGTAACTGCTGGTTTCTCTCTCCCATGTCGTGTTGTATACCCTACACCCCTGCGCAGAACAAGGCCTACTTAGTGTACTCTCAGCTCATGATTCTGAACCCGCCGGAAAAAATACAGTACCACCCTGCACCAGAGGAAGTGTTTGATGCGATCTCTTTCCACTTGTCTGCAAAAGGGCTTGGGTCAATGAAGCTGCTATGGTTGCACAATGACAAGTCAAACATGGGAGTCTTCAACCACCAGATGTTGTCAACAAGGTCAACTATCAACTCCACCCTCAGGCCAGCAGCATACACCGGCATTGGCCTTGCCGTTTTCAGCCCCCTCGTGGATAGCCTGCCCACTGAGCTACACCCAACGAGGTGGTTCGACGACGAGCATCTCCTAGCCAAGTACAGAGATGGTATGTGCAACTCGAAAACACCATATGCCTCACCATATGCCAGTTGGCAGCTACATATCATCGTGCGATGTGGCTCACCTTGACTCTCATCCCCCCACTTGATTCTCTACACCCCCTTTCCAAACCATACCCTCCCCCAAAATGCAGAACAGTGGGCCCTCAACCGGCACTTTGACAAGCCCACCGGGACGCCCTTCAGCAACCCCTTGATCGCTTATGCGTTCAAGCTCTCCTTTTAGAGGGGTGGGGTCGTGTTCACCAAGTTCAAGACCCGCATGGTGGCATGGGGCCTGTTTTCGGTAAAGATGTAGATATGTGTTTATACCCCCTGCCTCTTCCACTTAACCCCTTGCCTGTACTTCAGCTAAATATATGGTCGATAAAGCCTTTGCAGTTACGTAGATAGTGACGACTGAATCACCGCTTTCAGTTGGCTCCTTTACCGGTAACCCCCCCTCCGGTAAGCCACCTCAGCCGACGCGGCGACCTCAGCCGACGCGGCGACCTCAGCCGACGCGGCGACCTCAGCCGACGCGGCCACCTCAGCCGACGCGGCGACCTCAGCCGACGCGGCCACCTCAGCCGACGCGGCGACCTCAGCCGACGCGGCCACCTCAGCCGACGCGGCCACCTCAGCCGACGCGGCCACCTCAGCCGACGCGGCCACCTCAGCCGACGCGGCCACCTCAGCCGACGCGGCCACCTCAGCCGACGCGGCCACCTCAGCCGACGCGGCCACCTCAGCCGACGCGGCCACCTCAGCCGACGCGGCCACCTCAGCCGACGCGGCCACCTCAGCCGACGCGGCCACCTCAGCCGACGCGGCCACCTCAGCCGACGCGGCCACCTCAGCCGACGCGGCCACCTCAGCCGACGCGGCCACCTCAGCCGACGCGGCCACCTCAGCCGACGCGGCCACCTCAGCCGACGCGGCCACCTCAGCCGACGCGGCCACCTCAGCCGACGCGGCCACCTCAGCCGACGCGGCCACCTCAGCCGACGCGGCCACCTCAGCCGACGCGGCCACCTCAGCCGACGCGGCCACCTCAGCCGACGCGGCCACCTCAGCCGACGCGGCCACCTCTGTCGCGATATATATTTTATATATGTTTATAAGTGCCTGTAGCTTTAGCTTTAGTGTAGTTATGCCTTTTTGTTGTTGGTGGTGCACTGTTGCTATTTTGCTATATGTACCTTGTGTGCTATAGTGAAACCAACCATTCTCGATTCTCCCCTTGGCCTTAACCACCTCGACACCCGCTTGGCCTAGGCTACTAAGCCTAGGCCCTTAGTAAACTCCGGTTCCTAGACTAAGTTCGTTCCGTAATAACCTCAGCCGACGCGGCGACCTCAGCCGACGCGGCGCCCTCAGCCGACGCGGCGACCTCAGCCGACGCGGCGACCTCAGCCGACGCGGCGCCCTCAGCCGACGCGGCGCCCTCAGCCGACGCGGCGACCTCAGCCGACGCGGCGACCTCAGCCGACGCGGCGACCTCAGCCGACGCGGCCACCTCAGCCGACGCGGCCACCTCAGCCGACGCGGCCACCTCAGCCGGCGCGGCGACCTCAGCCGACGCGGCCACCTCAGCCGGCGCGGCCACCTCAGCCGGCGCGGCGACCTCAGCCGGCGCGGCGACCTCAGCCGGCGCGGCGACCTCAGCCGGCGCGGCGACCTCAGCCGGCGCGGCGACCTCAGCCGGCGCGGCGACCTCAGCCGGCGCGGCGACCTCAGCCGGCGCGGCGACCTCAGCCGGCGCGGCGACCTCAGCCGGCGCGGCGACCTCAGCCGGCGCGGCGACCTCAGCCGGCGCGGCGACCTCAGCCGGCGCGGCGACCTCAGCCGGCGCGGCGACCTCAGCCGGCGCGGCGACCTCAGCCGGCGCGGCGACCTCAGCCGGCGCGGCGACCTCAGCCGGCGCGGCGACCTCAGCCGGCGCGGCGACCTCAGCCGGCGCGGCGACCTCAGCCGGCGCGGCGACCTCAGCCGGCGCGGCGACCTCAGCCGGCGCGGCGACCTCAGCCGGCGCGGCGACCTCAGCCGGCGCGGCGACCTCAGCCGGCGCGGCGACCTCAGCCGGCGCGGCCACCTCAGCCGGCGCGGCCACCTCAGCCGGCGCGGCCACCTCAGCCGGCGCGGCCACCTCAGCCGGCGCGGCCACCTCAGCCGGCGCGGCCACCTCAGCCGGCGCGGCCACCTCAGCCGGCGCGGCCACCTCAGCCGGCGCGGCCACCTCAGCCGGCGCGGCCACCTCAGCCGGCGCGGCCACCTCAGCCGGCGCGGCCACCTCAGCCGGCGCGGCCACCTCAGCCGGCGCGGCCACCTCAGCCGGCGCGGCCACCTCAGCCGGCGCGGCCACCTCAGCCGGCGCGGCCACCTCAGCCGGCGCGGCCACCTCAGCCGGCGCGGCCACCTCAGCCGGCGCGGCCACCTCAGCCGGCGCGGCCACCTCAGCCGGCGCGGCCACCTCAGCCGGCGCGGCCACCTCAGCCGGCGCGGCCACCTCAGCCGGCGCGGCCACCTCAGCCGGCGCGGCCACCTCAGCCGGCGCGGCCACCTCAGCCGGCGCGGCCACCTCAGCCGGCGCGGCCACCTCAGCCGGCGCGGCCACCTCAGCCGGCGCGGCCACCTCAGCCGGCGCGGCCACCTCAGCCGGCGCGGCCACCTCAGCCGGCGCGGCTACCTCAGCCGGCGCGGCCACCTCAGCCGACGCGGCCACCTCACCCTGTCAAGCTATATTTGTTATACCTTATTTGTGTTAGTCTAGGTGTACTTCATGTTTTCCGAGGGTTAGGGTTATGCTTGCTATAACTTGCTTGTTTTCACTTTCCTTAGTCAACTTATACTTTTGTAACTTGACATGGTATAGAGCGATAAAAAGGTCCCATGGGCCCACCGCCCCGTAACGTGCCCTAGCCTGAAGCGCCCTAGCCCGAAGCGCCCTAGCCCGAAGCGCCTTAGCCCGTAGCGCCCCGTCAATCCGTGTCTCGTAGTGCCACGTACCTCGCGCGCCACCCGTTTTCCCGTCGCCTCACCCGTCAGATCCGTCGCGTCGTTACTCTCCCCCCCCTCGTCGCGACCTGCCCGTTTTCCCCCGTCGCGCCCTACCTTTTCCCCCCGTCGCGCTGCCCGTACATCCGCTCGCGTAGTCGCACGCACCTGTACGAACGGTCGCGCGCGCAGTCGCCTGTGACGGCACACACAGCAGCACGTGCAACTGCTCGCCCGTCCGCTCGCACAGCTGCCCGTGCGGCCTGCGCGCCGCGCCACCTGCAACCCGTCCCACAACCTTCCCCGTAGCTCGACGCCCCACCCGTCCCCACTGCCTTAGCAAGCCGCCACAGCCAGAATAGCCGCCCCTTCCCAGTTCTGCCGCCCCACCCTTAACAGGCCGCCCTTACCAGTTCTGCCGCCCTCACCCGTTCCCACTGCCTCACCTGTAGCCCGCCGCCCCAGCCATATCTGCAACCTCACCCGTTCGAGTCACCTCACCCAGTACCCTCCCCTGCACAGAACCGTGCAGAACCGCACAGAACCGCACGGAACCGTGCAGAATCGCGCAGAATCGCGCAGAACCATATAGAACCGCACAGAACCGCCACCTTACCTTCCCCACCCGTCGCCAGCAGCCTAGTCTACCGCCAGGAGCACCACCAGCAACTTAGACTACCGCCAGTCACACCAGCAGCAACTTGAACTACCCCCTAGCAAAGCCAGCAACTTACACCGCCCCACCCGGTACTCCCCACTGCACAGAACAGCATAGAACCACACCCGCTGCCCCACCCGTTCCAGCCAGAGCTGCTGTCCCACCCGTTCCACTCACCTCACCCGGAATCAGCCGCCCCACCCGGTACTCTCCACCCCGCAGAACCGCACTGAACTACACAGAACTGCATAGAACCGCACCCGCTGCCCCACCCGTTCCAGCCAGAGCTGCTGCCCCACCCGTTCCAGTCACCTCACTCGGAATCAGCCGCCCCACCCGGTACTCTCCACTTCGCAGAACCGCACTGAACTGCACATAACCGCACAGAACCGCACCCGGTGCCCCACCTGTACTAGCAGCACCAGTAGCAGCAGTCTAGGCTGCCCCAGTGATCGAGCAGCAGCTTAGACTACCGCTAGTGCACCAGCAGCAGCTTAGACTGCCCCCAGCGGAACCAGTAGAAGGATAGCCTACCGTCAGCAGCAGTTTAGGCCCACCTGCCAGCACCACCCCCGTTTCTAGCTACTCACATGGCTTGTACTCGAGTCCTACAGCAGCAAGGCCAGCCGCAGCACTCCCGGCAGTGGGGTCCTGCGGGTTCAAAGTGTGGAGCCCTCAGCAGTGGCTCAGCTAGCAGTGGGCGAGACGTCGGCCCCTGCGGGTACCGGGCCCTGACAGGCCCTGGTGCTGGCACTACCTGCTGGAGTCCTGACCACTCTCCGTCCAGCTGCTACCGTCGACTCGAGGACCTTCACCGTGAGCGTTTTGGTCCTCACGCTATTACACCGCACTGGCCCTCGCGACTTCGTCAGCGCACTGCTGCACCAGTTGAGTCTCACCTACCTGGTCTAGGACCGTTCCCGGCTGCACGAGTAGAGACCTGTGTTTCCAGTCTTGGTGCGTGTGTTGTTTCCAGTCCAGGCGCCTCTGAGGGTCTTTGTGCAGGAGCTGCAGCTACCACTAGTCTAGCACTAGCCTTTGTAGCTGGTTCGGGTGCGACCCCACAGACTGCACAGCTTTCCTTCACCCTAGACTCTGGAGCGTCCAGCTGTTTCTTTCGCGACTGTACTGACCTCACACCACTGCGCACTCCAGTCACTGTTGCCTTAGCTGACCCCTCTGTGGGACGTGTAGTTGCTCGCAGCACCACCACTCTCCCGTGTCCGGCGGCTTCCTCAGGTTTTCTTACAGGTTATTACACCCCCTCGTTCTCTAGGAACCTGGTGGGTGTCAGTCACCTCCACGACCTAGGTGTAGTCACCACTTTCCCACTGGACGAGCCTGTTGCCTCCTGCACAGTCGGTACCACTGGGGCCCCTCTGGCCACTTTTCACAGGGAGCCGGGCTCTGGTCTGTACTCACTACATACTGGGTCCCACCGCACTGGGTCAGGCCAGGTCAGGTCAGGTCAGGTAGCTGCTGTGTCGTGCGACTGTCGCTCCCTCACCCACCCGTCTGTCCTCTGGCACCATCGTCTAGGTCACCCGTCGTTCCCACGTCTTAGTAGGATGGCACGTTACCGTCTGGTCTCAGGTCTCCAAGAGTCGCTTGCCCCGCTTCCTCGCTCGCCTGCGCCGCTGTGCACTCCTTGCGTCGAGGGTCGGCAGCGCGCTGCCCTCACTCCTCCTCGTTCCCCCCCACCACGGCTCCCTTCCAGACCCTGCACTTGGACGTCTGGGGCCCCTCCCCGGTCCTTGGACCACGTCAGGAGCGCTACTTCCTGATTGTGGTGGACGACTACTCCCGCTACACCACGGTTTTCCCCTTGCGACGGAAGGCCGACGTGCCTGCCGTCCTCGAGCCGTGGCTGCTAGCGTGGGGTGGTGCCCAGGGCCTGTGTGGGCTTCGCCTACACTCGGACCGTGGTGGTGAGTTTTCTTCCACTCGTTTGGAGACGTTCTGTCAGGGTCGGGGAGTCATTCAGTCGTACACGCTACCAGCCTCGCCGCAGCAGAACGGGGTAGCCGAGCGTCGCATCGGCCTGGTCATGGAGGTTGCCCGGACCTCCATGTGCCATGCCGGTGCCCCTCAGTTCTTGTGGCCTCAGGCGGTCCGCTACGCCGCGCACCAGCTGAACCTGTGGCCCAGTGACGCACGGCCACGGGTGACGCCGGTCTCTCTCTGGTCAGGTTTACAGGGTGTAGCAGCTGACTTCCGTGTCTGGGGTTGTCTGGCTCACGTTCGCGCCCCTGGCACGAACAAGTTGTCTCCGCGCACTCGTGCCTGCGTCTTTCTTGGCTTTCCTTTGGACGCCTCCGGCTGGGTGTTCTACGACCCGGTCACCTGCGGGTTCTTCGCTTCTCAGGACGTCACGTTCGACGAGTCTGTCGGTTACTACAGGAGTCGCCCCCACCGAGGTACTGAGGTCTTTTCCCCCCCGCTGTTCCTCACCCTTGAGCCTCCCCCAGTCGTCCCGGTAGCCCCCCCTCCTTCGCGTCCTGCCCCGTCAGGTGTGTCGCACGTCACTCCGCAGTCGTCCCCCCCGCAGCGTCCAGTCCGTGTCGTGTCTGGGGGTGCGGGAGGTGCAGTTGCGGAGGGTGAGGGTACTGGGGCTGCAGGAGCTGGTGGTGTCGGCCCTGGGGGTGCAGGGGTTGTGGGAGTGGAGTTCACTCATGTGGAGGACACGGCAGCCTCGAGTCGGCGGCCTCGCCCCGCCTCACCCCCTGGCTTCCCGTCCGTCCCGCAGTTTCCCCCTCGTTCTTCTCTGCCGCCGGTTGCTACGGAGCCTGGGGGTGTTCCTGCGGGAGGTACTGGAGGCCTCGGGGGTGTCGGTGGTGGAGGTGCTGGTTCTGGGGGTGCTGGAGCTGGAGGCACTGGCACTGTGGCGCCTACACCGCGAACTGTACGTTTCCTGACCTGTGAGCAGCGTCTCCTTTGGTTGGAGAGGGAGGAGCGTGAGCAGTTTGAGACGACACAGCAGCAGCTGCAGCAGCAGCAGCAGTAGGAGAGAGTAGAGGAGGAGTCAGAGCCGCAGCAGGAGAGGGTCGAGGAGGAGTCACGGCCACACCAGGAGAGGGTAGAGCAGGAGTCCCGCCCGCAGCAGCAGGTGCAGTTACAGACACACCAGGAGAGAGTAGAGGAGCAGTCCCGGCCGCACCAGGAGAGGGTAGAGCAGGAGTCCCACCCGCAGCAGCATGTACAGTTACCGACCCAGCAGGAGAGAGTAGCGGAGCAGTCACGGCCGCAGCAGGAGAGGGTAGCGCAGGAGTCCCACCCGCAGCAGCAGGTACAGTTGCAGACCCAGCAGGAGAGAGTAGAGGAGGAGTCACGGCCGCAGCAGGAGAGGGTAGTGCAAGAGTCCTAGTTGCAGCAGCGGGTGCAGCTGCAGTCGCAGCAGGAGAGGGCAGAGGCGGAGCCACAGGTGCAGCAGCAGGGGCCGGTACCGTCGCAGCAGACGCCAGAGGAGGCGGAGCAGCAGCGACTGCGACTACGCGACCTCCCCGACCCAGCACCTGCACGCTTTGTTCGTGGTCCCCTACCGTCCCCTCCTGTTCCCCCTGTTGAGTCCCTTTCCTCGTCCCAGTGGACTCGTCGTTCTCCCCTCAGTCGTGCTGTGTCCCCGGAGCGTCGTCGGTCCCGTTACCGTGCAGACGGTCCGTTCCACCTTGTTCTTCGCTCTCGTGTTCCACCTCCACCTGTCCTTCCACAGCCCCCTGAGTCGTCCCTCACTGTGCTTCACGACCCGTTGTCCGACTACCTCCGTGCCTCCCGTCCTGTCGTCTCCCGTGTTTTGTCCGCGTTGGTCACTCACCCGACTGCACCTCTGTCGTCTGTTTCGGCACTTTTTACCACTGTCGCTGGCTTTGCCTCTTCCCACCGCCGTGACTACGCCGCTCACGTGGTGAGTGGCCCTGCTCGTTCTCCGTTCTCAGGAGGTGCTCCTCTCTTTCCCTTGGAGGTACTCGAGGACAAGCAGTTCGAGCTTGGTTTCCTTGCGGCCGCTGTTCCTCATCTCTGCGCCATGCTACTTGCCCCTGAGGGAGATCCAGATGCCCTTGATATCCAGATACCTCGCACTCACGCCGAGGCGGTCTCGGGACCCTGGGCTTCGTACTGGATAGGAGCTGAGGAGGCAGAGATGGCATCTTATAGGTCCACAGGCACTTACGTCGACGCAGTCCCACCACCTGGGACGAACGTCGTCAGTGGCCGATGGCTCTACAAGGTGAAGCGGCCGCCTGGATCACCACCAGTGTTCAAGGCGCGCTATGTGGCGAGAGGCTTCAGTCAGCGAGAGGGGGTGGACTTCTTCCAGACCTTCGCTCCCACCCCGAAGATGAGTACTCTTCGGGTGTTGCTGCATATTGCAGCACAGCGCGAGTACGAGTTGCACTCCTTGGACTTTTCCACCGCGTTCCTTCAGGGGAGCCTGCACGAGCAGATCTGGCTGGGTCGCCTGCCTGGCTTCACTGGCTCTTTTCCACCTGGGACCCAGTGGCAGCTGCGTCGACCAGTCTACGGCCTGCGTCAGGCTCCACGTGAGTGGCACGACACACTTCGCTCGACCCTTGCAGCGCTTGACTTCTTTCCGTCGTCTGCTGACCCGTCACTGTTCGTTCGCCGTGGCTCGACCCCGTTCTTTGTCTTGGTCTACGTCGACAACCTGGTGTTCGCCACTCCCGACCGACGCGCGCTGGCCTCCGTGAAGGAGGAACTGCAGAGGAGACACACTTGCACTGACCTTGGTGAGCTGCAGCACTACCTTGGCCTGCAGATCTCCAGGGACAGGGCAGCTCGCACCATTACGCTGACTCAGTCGCATATGGTCGAGCAGATCCTCACGCGGTTTCGCTTCCCGTTCTCCAAGGTACAGCTCACCCCTCTTGGTGTGGATCATGGGCTCACGGCTCCACCTTCGGACGAGCCATTTGAGTCCAGCGGTCCATACCCTGAGCTGGTGGGTTGTCTCATGTACCTGATAACCTGCACTCGCCCAGACCTAGCTTACCCTCTTAGCGTCCTTGCGCGTTTTGTTGCGCCTAGGAGACACCGACCTTCCCACTGGTACGCGGCTAAGAGGGTGGCAAAGTATGTGGCGAGTACATCAGGCATGGGACTTGTCCTTGGAGGGAAGCAGCCAGTTACACTCACAGGTTACTCAGACTCGTCGTGGGCCGACGACGCGGAGACGCGCCGGTCTACACAGGGGTACTCCTTTAGCCTAGGAGCAGGTGCTGTTTCGTGGCGGTCCACTCGGGCGTCGTCTGTCGCCGGTTCCAGCTGTGAGGCAGAGGTGTACGCTGTGGCCATGGCTGCTCAGGAGCTTCGCTGACTGTCTTTCCTTCTCGCCGACCTTGGTGAGCGGCCTCGCTCTCCCCCAGTCTTGTTCGCCGACAACAGGTCTGCTGTCCTGTTGTGTGAGGAGCCTCGACTGGTTGGGAAGGCGAAGCACATCCAGCTTCGTTACTTCCTTCTGCGTGAGTTGCAGCAGCGTGGCCAGGCACGCGTGGTACGTGTGGTCTCTGAGGCCAACACTGCAGATATCTTCACCAAGGCGTTGCCGCCTTGTGACCACCAGCGTTTCTGCACCCAGCTTGGCCTTGTGTCTACAGGCCCTCACTTGCTTGTTTAGAGATGCTTTGCTTTGTACTCTGGCATCTCTTTATATTTGCTATATATATATGCATCTAGACTGGCCTTGTGGCCCTGTGCTTCTGTAGAGATGCTTGTCGTGTACTCTTGCATCTTCTATATTTGCTATATCCTTGCATGTTGACTGGCCTTGTGGCCCCTCGCTTGTTCTCGGACTGTGTGGTGATCTTGAGATCCACCCCGAGATTTGTTGTGTTTTTTGCGAACTGGTCCTGTGACCCTTGCTTTCCACAGGACTACCGTCACCTAGACTATGGGGGTGTGTCAAGCTATATTTGTTATAGCTTATCTGTGTTAGTCTAGGTGTACTTCATGTGTTCCTAGGGTTAGGGTTATGCTTGCTATATCTTGCTTGTTTTCACTTTCCTTAGTCAACTTATACTTTTGTAACTTGACACACCCGACGCGGCCACCTCACCCGACGCGGCCACCTCAGCCGATGCGGCCACCTCACCCGACGCGGCCACCTCAGCCGACGCGGCCACCTCAGCCGACGCGGCCACCTCACCCGACGCGGCCACCTCACCCGACGCGGCCACCTCACCCGACGCGGCCACCTCAGCCGACGCGGCCACCTCAGCCGACGCGGCCACCTCAGCCGACGCGGCCACCTCAGCCGACGCGGCCACCTCAGCCGACGCGGCCACCTCACCCGACGCGGCCACTTGACCAAACTCAGCCACCAGTGCAAACTCAGTAGTTAGTGTGTACAGACCAGACCCGAGCCTCTGAGTGAACGTGGCAAGGTGCTCGCCAGTGTGCGAGTCCGTACAGATCGCCACAAGCACTCCTCCAGGCTGGGTGACAGTGACCCACTGGTCCTGGAGGACAGATTTAGCCACCAAGTTCCTAGCGAACGAGGGGGGGTGGAGACCTGTGAGGAGGCCAGAAGGGGCCGTCGAACAGGGTAGAACAGTAGTGCCATGCGTGACTACCGAGTCTCCAAAGTGGTCAGCCAGTGTGACAGGGACACGGGCTGTGAGCGTTGTCACAATAGATTTATATCTATTTAGTATAATCTGCCTGTAGTGTAGCTATTGTGTAATTCCCTTGTATGGTGGTGCACCTCTTTCACCTTTGTTAGGTTGCTATATGTACTCGTGTGCCATAGTGAACCTCCAACCATTTTCAATTCTCCTTGGCACAAACTACTTGACACCCGTTTGGCCTAGGCTACTAAGCCTAGGCCCTTAGTTAAACCCATTTCCTAGCTAAGACGCTATCGTAACATGGTATTGAGCTAGGTCGTTCCCGACCTAATTTCCTAAGGGCCCACCGTTAGCTTTCGCGATGGCGCGTCCCGTCAAGCAACAAATCGTGGCTCCGTCCGTCCCTTCCCGTCGCTCGCCCGTAGAAAAATCCGTCATGGTAGTCGTGACAGACGCAACAGTCGCGGCGGGAGTGACGGTGCTCATCGACCCGGTGTTTCGCGCCGTCGCTCTCGCCCCCGTCGACCCCGTGCACTACCCGCTACTGCAGCCCGCCACCCGCGAAATTTCCGCTGCTGCAGCCTGTCGCCCGTCCCGTCGCGCTGCCGCCCGTCACCAGATTCCCGCCACCCGTCCGCACACCGTCGCCCGTCGCCCTGCTTCCCGTCGCCCCAACCGCACCTTATCCCGCCGTCGCTCTGCCCGTCGCATTACCCCCACCCCCTGCCCGTCACCACCCCCCGTCGTGCTTGTTCGCGTGTGCAGCGGCGGTCGCTGTGGGGAGGGTGAGGGAAGAAGGGCAGGGAGTGGCGGCCGAACGCTGTGGGGGAGAGGGAAGCAGGGGAAGGGCATGGCGGGACAGCCAGCAGCTACAACGCTAGCAACGACCGCCAGCAGAGACTTCGCCAGCAGAGACCCCACCAGCAGCGCCACCGCCAGCAGAGACCCCCGTCCTACCCAGTCGTGCCCCACCCGTTCCACCCGTTCCACCCGTTCTGCCCGTGTCCTGCCCGTGTCCTGCCCGTGTTCTGCCCGTGATTCTTCCCGTATTGCTGCCCGTGATTGTGCCCGTGATTATACCCGTGTGTTGCCCGTATTTTGCCCGTGTTCTGCCCGTGATCCTGAACGTGATTCTGCCCGTGATTCTGCCTGTGATCTTGCCCGTTTTGCTGCCCGTTCCCGTGCCATACTGACCGTGCACCTCCTGTGCTCCCGTGATCCTGTGCTACTCATGCTTCTTGTGCTTCTCGTGCTGCCCTGTGGTCCTGTGCTGTCCCATATTGCCCGTACTTCCCCGTGCTTGCCCCGTGCCCGTGCCCGTGCTGTCTGCCCGTGTTCCCTGTGCTTCTGCTCGTGCTCTACCCGTGCTGTTTGTTCCCGTGCGTGCCCCACCTGTACCACCCGTGCTGTCAGTGCCCGTGCTGCCCCGTTCTGCCCGTGCTACCTCGTGCTCCTGTGCTGCCCCCGTGTTCCCGTGCTGCCCCCGTGTTCCCATGCTGCCCCCGTGCTGCCCCGTTCAGCCCTTGTGCTGCCCCGTTCTGCCTGTGCTGCCCCGTTGTCCCCGTGTTGCCCCGTTCTGCCCGTGTTGCCCCGTTCAGCCCGTGTCCTGCCCCGTTCAGGCCGTGTCCTGCCCCGTTCTGACCGTGTTGCCCCGTTCTGCCCGTGTCCTGCCCCGTTCTGCTCGTGTTGGCCTGTTCTGCCCGTGCTGCCCCGTTCTGCCCGTTTGTGTCCTACCCGTGCTGTCCGTATCCGTTGGTGCCCCACCCGTGCTGTCAGTTCTCGCTCGTGCCCCACCCGGTCTGTGCTGCCCGGTCTCGTGCTACCCGTCACCCCCGTGCGGCCCGTCCCGTACAGCACCTAGTTGCTACCCGAACCCGCTACCCGGCCTTAGGGGGTACAGATTTGTTAGGGTTTCCTACTTGTATCCCCCTCCTACCTAGTTTCATTCATTCTCGTTCTATTCTGGATTCTAACATGGTATCACGAGCCTAGGTTGCTACCTAGGACCGCTTTCTACTATGGGCCCACTATTCCGCTAGAAGCGCCCTCGTGCGCCCTACCTTACGTGCGCCCTCGTGCGCCTTTCTCTGCTAGTGCGCCTTCGTGCGCCCTCGTGCGCCCTCGTGCGCCCTCGTGCGCCTTTCTCTGCTAGTGCGCCTTCGTGCGCCTTCGTGCGCCCTCGTGCGCCCTCGTGCGCCTTCGTGCGCCCTCGTGCGCCCTCGTGCGCGCTCGTGCGCCCTCGTGCGCCCTCGTGCGCCCTCGAGCGCCCTCGTGCGCCCTCGAGCCGCCCCTGCAGGTCCGTCAGGCCCCCGAGCTGCCTCTGCAGACCCGTCAGGCCCCCCCCGAGCCGCCTCTGCAGGCCCGTCAGGCCCGAGAGCCGCCCCTGCAGACTCGTCAGGCCCGCGCGCAGCCTCTGCCCGACCGCGCGCCGCCCCTGCAGGCTCTCGCCACCCGCCGCGTCGCCCTGCCCGCGGCGTCGCTGCCTGCCCGCGGCGTCGTCACCTGCCCGCGACGTAGCCCCTGCCCGCGGCGTCGTCGCCTGCCCGCGGCGTCGTCGCCTGCCCGCGGCGTCGTCGCCTGCCCGCGGCGTCGTCGCCTGCCTGCGGCGTCGTCGCCTGCCCGCGACGTAGCCCCTGCCCGCGACGTCGTCGCCTGCCCGCGGCGTCGTCGCCTGCCCACGGCGTCGTCGCCTGCCCGCGGCGTCGCCACCTGCTCGCGGCGTCGCCCTGCTCGCGGCGTCGTCACCTGCTCGCCGCGTCGCCCTGCCCGCCGCGTCGCCCTGCTCGCGGCGTCGTCACCTGCTCGCCGCGTCGCCCTGCCCGCGGCGTCGTCACCTTCCCGCCACGTCGCCCTGCCCGCGGCGTCGCCACCTGCCCGCCGCGTCGCCCTGCTCGCCGCGTCACCCTGACCTAATCCGCGCCTGGCCTCTGGAGCAGCCGCCCCTGCAGCAGCCGCCCCTGGCCACTGGAGCAGCCGCCCCTGCAGCAGCCGCCCCTGGCCCCTGGAGCAACCACCGCTGCAGCAGCCGCCCCTGGCCCCTGGAGCAGCCGCCACTGCAGCAGCCGCCCCTGGCACCTGGAGCAGCTGCCGTCGCGGCCCGGCCTCGCCGTGCAGCAGCTGCCGCGGAGCTCCCTGCTGCGGCCCGGCCCCGCCCTGCAGTTGTAGCGGCCCCGCTGTCGCCACCGTCTTGCGCCTGCCGCGCCGACCACTAGTGAGCATTGCCCTGCCAGCACTGCTACCGCTGCTACTTCTGCTACTGCCTTTTCTACTCCCACTACTACTGCTCCTGCTGTTACTGCTGTTACTCCCGCTACTGCTACTATTGCTGCTTCTGGCGTGGCCAGATGCAGCTCCAGGGCCGTGCGCGTGAGTCCCTCACGCCCCAGCAGCTTCGTCAGTGGTACGCTAGTTGGGGCTGTCGGGGTGGCCGTAGTGGTAGTCGCTCTGGAGTGGGTCGATCGGGAGCTTCTGGTAGTGGACAGGTGCAGCTGCCGTGTCCTCTTTCGCCCCAGCAGCTTCGTGCGTGGTACGCCAGTTGGGGCTGTCGGGGTGGCCGTAGTGGTAGTCGCTCTGGAGTGGGTCGGTCGGGAGCTTCTGGTAGTGGACAGGTGCAGTTGCCGTGTCCTCTTTCGCCCCAGCAGCTTCGTGAGTGGTACGCCAGTTGGGGCTGTCGGGGTGGCCATAGTGGTAGTCGCTCTGGAGTGCGTCGTTCGGGAGCTTCTGGTAGTGGACAGGTGCAGCTGCCGTGTCCTGTGAGTGAGGCTGCCGCTCTAGGTGCTAGTGCGTCTGTTGCCCTAGGTGCTGGTGAGGCTACCACTCCCGGTACTCGCGTGTCTGCTACCCCAGGTGCTGGTGAGGCTGCTGCTCTAGGTGCTAGTGAGTCTGCGCCCCCTAGTACTGAGTCGACTGAGGCACTGCACACCTTCACTCTGGACTCAGGTGCTTCTCGCTGTTTCTTTCGTGACCGCACTGCCCTTGAGCCGCTTGCTCGGCCAGTTGCTGTCTCCCTCGCTGACCCCTCTGGGGGTCCGGTCATTGCGACCTCCTCCACTGTCCTTCCTTGTCCTGCGGTCCCGTCGGGCACATTGTCAGGTCTCCACCTCCCCTCGTTCTCTACGAACTTGGTGGCGGGTTGTGCGCTCCAGGACGGGGGTGTTCACCAGTTCACCCCTGCCTACGAGCGCGTGACACACTGCACGTGTGCTCGGACGGGCCGTCACCTGGCTACCTTCACTCGGCAGCCGGGGTCGGACCTGTACACACTGACCACTGAGTCCCCTCAGGTAGCTGCGTCTGCGTCTGCGTCAGGTCAGCTATCGGCCCCCTGCTCGTGTCGCTCTCTGGCGCACGAGACCGTCCTCTGGCACCACCGACTTGGTCACCCGTCCGTGCAGCGCCTTCGTGCCATGCACAAACGGTACCTTGTCTCTGGTCTTCCCAGGGTTCTCCCTCCCCTCCCACCCTCGCCTGCTCCTCCCTGTCTTCCCTGTGTCGAGGGGCGGCAGCGCGCCGCTCCTCACTCCTCCTCGTTTCCCCCGACGACTGCTCCCTTGCAGACGCTCCACATGGACGTGTGGGGCCCAGCCCGCGTCCGTGGTCAGGGTCAGGAGAGGTACTTCCTGATAGTTGTTGACGACTACTCGCGCTACACCACGGTCTTCCCCTTGCGCACCAAGGGTGAGGTCCCTGATGTTTTGATCCCTTGGATCAGCGCTTCTCGTCTCCAGCTCAGCGAGCGTTTCCACTCGGACTTTCCTGTCCTGCGCTTGCACTCTGACAGAGGTGGTGAGTTCTCCTCCGACCTCTTGGCAGCCTACTGTGCGGAGCACGGCATCCGCCAGTCGTTCACGCTTCCGGCCTCTCCACAGCAGAATGGGGTTGCTGAGCGCCGCATTGGCTTGGTCATGGAGGTCGCTCGTACCTCCTTGATCCATGCGGCTGCCCCCCACTTTCTGTGGCCGTTTGCAGTCCGATACGCTGCGCATCAGCTCAACCTCTGGCGCCGTGTCTCCGTTCTAGAGACTTCGCCGACACTGCGTTGGACAGGAGAGGTTGGCGATGCGTAACGCTTTCGGGTCTGGGGATCTCGAGCCTTTGTTCGCGATACGTCCGCGGACAAGCTCTCCTCCCGCGCTGTTCCTTGTGTCTTTCTTGGCTTTGTCCCGGACGCGTCTGGTTGGCAGTTTTACCACCCCACCTCGCGCCGTGTCCTGCCTTCTCAGGACGTCACTTTCGATGAGTCCGTCCCCTACTACCGCCTCTTCCCCTACCGCATTGCCCCGCTTCCCCCCCCGCCTCTCTTCCTCGCGCCAGGTGCTGCTGTGGTAGACCCCCTCCCCCCTCAGGGTGCCGCTCCCTCAGGTGTGTCCCAGGTAGACCCGGTTGAGCCTGTCGAGGTAGCTGTCGACTCTCGTCCTGCTAGGGGTGCTGAGCCTGAGGGTGCTGAGCCTGAGCGTGCGGAGCCTGGGGGTGCGGAGCCTGGGGGTGCGGAGCCTGGGGTTGCGGAGTCTGGGGGTGCGGAGCCTGGGGTTGCGGAGTCTGGGGGTGCTGAGCCTGGGGGTGCGGAGCCTGCGGGTGCTGAGTCTGGGGGTGCTGAGTCTGGAGGTACTGAGCCTGGGAGTGCTACACCTGGAGGAGCTCTCTCCTCACAGCAGCTGCGTGAGTGGTACTTACAGTACTGCAGCCTCAGGAGAGGTGCTTCTGGAGCCAGGAGTACTGCTGGAGCTGGTGCTAGTGCTTCCCCTCCTAGGCGGGAGCTGCCCTCTCCCCAGCGACTCCGAGAGTGGTACGCACGGCGCTGCAGTCTTCGTAGTGGCGCTCCTAGTGTCGCGGACCCAGCTGCTAGAGGTTCTGCTGCTGGCGGTGCTTCTGGCGCTGCTGGAGGTGCTGCTGGTGCTGGAGCTGCTGGTGCTGCTGACGCTGCTGGAGGTGCTGCTGGTGCTGGTGGTACTGCTGGTGCTGCTGGAGCTGCTGGAGGTGCTGCTGGTGCTGGGGCTACTGGAGCTGCTGGAGGTGCTGCTTCTTCTGGAGGTGCTACTGGTGCTGCGGACTCTGGAGTTGGAGCTGCTGCTGGTGCTGAGGACCCGGGCGTTGGAGCTGCTGCTGGTGCTGCGGACCCGGGCGTTGGAGTTGCTGCTGGTGCTGCGGACCCTAAGTCGGAGCTGCTGCTGGTGCTGAGGACCCTGGAGGTGGAGCTGCTGCTGGTGCTGAGGACCCTGGCGCTGGTGTCTCTGCTGGTTCTGGAGACGCTGCGCGGCCGCGGCCGTACTTCGTTCCGCTCCTTCAGCAGGTTCTTGGTCAGCCTCCTCCTCCTTGTCCTCCTCCCTCCTTAGAGTGTCCTCCGTCTGTCCAGTCGCAGTCACAGTTACCGTCTGCCTCCCCTCTCCCTGGTCCTTCTCCTTACACTGGTCCGACTGGAGGTCTTACGGAGCGTCGTGAGCCTGAGTCTCGTCCTGCGTCGCCTGAGTCTCGTCGAGCGTCGCCTGTTCGTGCTGCTCACACTGGTCGTCGCGTCCCGCGTCAGCGTCCTCCTGCTGTCCCAGGCACTCACCAGATGGCGCTTCGTCCTTCCACTGCTCCCCAGCGTGTCCCTCTCCCGGCTCCTCCTGCGTCCTCTCTTCCTGCTCTTGCTGACCCTGAGTCTGACTCCCTTCGTGCTGCCAGTCCTACTGTCACGCGTCTCCTGGCTACTGTTGTCACTGACCCTTCCTTTGAGTCCACTGCTGCGTCTGCCTTAGTTGCCGAGCTTGTCGACTTTGCTGCCACTTGTCGTCTAGACTACGCCGCTAGCCTAGTTGCTGAGTCTGAGTCTGTCTGTCCTCCGTTCGTCGGGGGTGAGTGTGCTCTTGGCACGGACGTCCT